GAAGCTCGTTCCTTTCCGAAGCGGGAACTGAAGGCCGGTGCCGCAGGGGTTCGTCCTCGGAGGCAGTGGGTCCGTGGAAGCGCGCTCACGAACACCAGACAGCAGTTCGACAACTCGCTTGTCTCTGCAGGTTCGCTGTTTTCCCCACGGCGAGCGGCTCTGCATTTATAATTCTTCATCGAGCCTCCCCCTGTTCCCAGCTCACCCAATCACCAGGCTCGGAGGCGCTGCCTGGTCGGGAACATTCCAGGGGATTCGCCTTGCGTCCTGCCCCCAGTCTTTGCCAGACCAATCAGCGTCCCGGGTGCCGCCCCACCAGAACTCTCCAGACGGTTCTCGTATTCTTGGGAGGGAACTGGAGTCTTAAAGGGAGGAGGGAACTGGAGTCTTAAAGGGAGGAGGGAACTGGAGTCTTAAAGGGAGGAGGGAACAGCGCTGTGAAGAGTGGGCGTGACTCCGCCCCTCAGTCTACGTTTCATGGGCAATGTTGGCCGCCTGCAACCCAGTTGAAATTGACGGGAAGAGTCAGCTCTTTGCTTGTACGTAGTTGTAGGGCGTGAAAGGCTGGTGCGGTTCAAACTAGTTTGATGATTTAAGGTAGAAAAGTTCCCGAATTTCTTCAAGAGGTTGGGAGTAAGTGTGGGCCAGAGAGACTCTGGACCTTGTCGCTGACGGACAGGGTCGCGTTTGGGCGGGCTAGCCAAGCGTCCTTACGGCCTGGACTTTCTTGGCCATCCATGGCGTTTCCCATCTTATTTTTTAAATGGGGAGGAGAAGGAAAGAGATAATGCGTTGTAGTGTTTGACATCTTTAACCTACACGTATGGACTATCTGGGGATAGGGGAATCTGAATTTTCAAATGAAAAGCAATCAGGTTAAACCGGCGGTTCTTGAACTGGGAAAGGTCCCCTTTGCAGAAGAAGGAATGAGATAGTTCAGGGGTGGGGAGAGGGAAGGGCTGGGCTGGGTTCGCAGCGCCAGGTCCACGCCCAGAGTCGCTCCTCTTTGCCTCAGGCTAGACTCGGTTGTGAAGAAGAAATTTCCCGTAGAACTTGGCCTTAAGGCCTTTTGGACTTCTGCCTTTCATTCCTGCTTCCTAGCCTGGTGTCCGAGCCAGTCCTGTCCCTCCTCTCTGCCTTCTCAATTCCTGCTTAAGCCTCGGAGTGTGGGGTAGGACCAGGGTTAACCTCAGAGTCTGGAATTCGTTCTTTGGCCCTGCTTTTGCAGCCCCTAGGCTCTCCACTATTTTGAAATAAATGGAGTGATGAGTGCGAGAGAGAGGCAAGGTGTTAAATTCTCTTTATCACCATCATATGGCACAGCTGGTTGGGAGGTGGCCTGTTTTAATTAAACATGCTGGGAATTTGCTGTGAGGTGGAAGGCTTTCGCTCGACCCAGCTTCTAGTTCTAGCCCTTCTAAAATTTCAGATTATTTGCGGTGCACTTAACGAACCCGCTTAGTTTTTTCATCCTCATTTCCAACTTACTATGAATTACCCTCCCTTCTGTTTTAAAAACAGTCACATTTGGTAATTTGTTTCAGCCTTTTTTCCTTCATCCTTTGTGGGGTTGCAAGACCCCTTAGTTAGGTGCCTGAAGTGAAAATGTGAGGTACAGTAAAGCATAAGTACTGGGTTCACAACCCACCAAAAAATAGACTCATTGCTATATCCACATGTCTTGAGCACAGAAAACATAAGAACACAAGTGGGAGGAGGCAGTTTTTGAAGAAGGGAAGGAACACTTTTGAAGACTTTGCTCAGTTGGCATCTTTTACACACACACACCTGTCCACTATCAAAACACCTCTTCCTAGAACTTGGAAGCATTCAGTTTATAACTTGTTCAAACTAATCTAAACTGATGTTGCAAAAAGGTTGCTGATGTTGCAAAAAGCTTGCTGTGCATTTGTGTGTGCAGGTAGTAACTTTACATTCAGATGTAGCTCCCTAATAAATCACCTCCTTATTCTAATCAAACTGGTTAAACTTAAGGAATTTTCTATTTCTTTATGCAATCTGCCTGGAGATTCTCCAAAATTCCATTTTAGCTGCCCAGTGTATTAATATTTACAGAGACTCACTATAGTCTGGATTCGCTCCTTCCTTTTCTCCAACTCTGCAATTTAGAATACTTCTCTAGTGGCTAGAAGCAAAAGACATCCCTGTCTCCATCACCTGGCGGAGACAGGTGGTGGTAGGGGCTCTTACGGCTGGTGGGTGGAAGAAAAAGATCCACTAGAAATGCTGTTTTCCATGAATCAGACAGTCAGACTACACACTGTGGATGGTTTAGAAACCTAAACACCTATGTTCCTTTTCTATTTCCTAACAGGAAGAGGGGCTCCTGAACTTCGTCTTTCCTTTTACACTGATGCTTCCCGAGGCAGAAATCCACTTACAGATTTAATTGATGTCTAAACTGCCCATAAGAACTCCAAGAGATTTTCAAGAACTTTAACTTGATTAATTTTGTAAGTAGGTTTGTTGATGTAAGAAACATCCAAACCTGTAGAGAATTTTTACGAGTTTATTTGAACCAAACCAACAACATATGCTGGGGAGCAAGATCTCAAATGCTCTGGAGAATGGCAGTTTTGCAGCATATTTTATACATTAGAATCAAAGAAGACCTAAGAAAGGTGCATGAAATCCATTGGTGGTAGATTAAGGAAGCAGGAGAAAGCATGGGGTGGGGGTGTATCTCTAGGATAGGATAAAAGGCAAAATGGAGAAACACATACTTTTATATTGGTGGCATTTACAGCACATAGAGATGGTACTGGGGAACAAGGTAACAGTGAGGTATTCTGTGGTCTCATGCTCTGGTGGTCTTGTGCTCTGATGTCGGGAGTTGTGACTTCCAGGGGTAGGAAAAGAAAATTACTCTGACATTTCAAAGGTATATTATCTTCAGTGCATAAGTACAGTGGACAGAGCTCACTTGGTAAAGACTGACCTTTGCGAAGGAAACTGTAGGCCTGGGACGTGACTACTCACTATGATCTGTCCAGTTAGGAATTTTTGATCAGACCATTTTGTATTGTTACTTTTGATCATTGAGCTTGTCAGACCTGCTATGTGCTGCTGCCCCTGGCTCTGCCCTGCACACCCCCACACCTCCCCCCCGCAAGCTTTTCAGGTTTATTGCATAGCCCCATTTTGGTTCACAAGTTTTTATCTGGTTTGGTGTTTGGAAGTAGCAAAGTTCAGGTTCCCCAAGCTGGACGGGCTGTCAGGTGTTTTTAAGGGTGGGGGACTGGAAAGGGATTGCCAAGAACATTGATGGCTGCTGACTGCCAGTGGCAGGAAATGTGGGAGAGGGAAGCCTTTCTCACCCCATAGCTTCAAAATCTTTTTTCTTCTCTCTGCTTTGTCCTATAGTTTCTCAAACAGTACCTTGTCACCTCAATTTTATTCATTAAAAAAAAATGTATAATTTTGTTTATCCAGAAAAAAAGCAAGAGATAATTGATATGAAACCTAGAGCCAAG